CAGTTGCAGTTCTTATAAGTGTATTTCTAGTATCACATGATCTCATGCATCTAAGGAAAATGATGAACAACACAGACTGATGACAGGAAAAGACCTGGAGACAGGGAAGCATTGATCAGCCTGTCGGACCTCAGAGGGACGGCAGGAGAGTGGGGGTAAGGGGGAGAGATCAACCCAAGGACTTGTGTGCATGCATATGAACCTAAGCACAATGCCTTTAACCAGACACATGCCTTAGGACCCCCCCCCCCCCCATTTCCCACAGCTGTGACAGGTCACATAGCCTTTAGAGCACGTGTCAAACACAAGGCCCTCGGGCCAAATCCGTCCCACCAGGCCTTGCAATGTGGCCCGCACCGCGCTGTCATCACTGCACTCCGCTGCGTTTCCATCACAATGACAGTTTATGACTGTTCAGTAAACCATTCGGCCCGCGATTTAGGCTGGATTTTAGATTTTGGCCCCTTCTCTGATTGAGTTCGACACCCCTACTTTAGAGTGAGCCTGGTTCTCTCACTCAGCCCCAGAGAATCCGAGACGTGCTGTCCGGTGAGAACAGGCGGTACTGCTAATGGGGTGTGATGTGACCCATTTCAGCAAAAGGAGCAGCGACCGGAACCCGAGGAGAGATGCAGAGGAGCGAGGAGGGCTCCCTCACGGTGCCCGGCCCCGAACCCCTCGCTTCCTCACCCACTGGCATCTCCGAAAACTCCTCACCCTCCCTGTTCCTACGTTCTCTCTCCTGTAAGCGGGGCAGCATCACCCACCACACAGACCTGCTGCAGAGGTGAGGGGTGGCATGTGGAGAACACCCACAATGGTGGTTGATACACAGGAACACCATGTGTGTGCTTGCTCTGAGGACTGTCAGGGTGCGCCGCCCATCACCACGGCCACGTGACTCACGCATGAGCAGTGTGCACGGACTGCGAGGAGGTGCGGGTGACCCAGAGGGAGCAGACTGAGGAGCACGGAGCCCGGAAACACGGGGGAGGAAGTGCGGGTCCCTGTGAGGGCAATGCCGCGAGGGGCTCGGCGCGCCCGTGGGTAGCATCCCACGGGAGGAAGCAGGGACCACGGGTGGGTCCCGGGAAGCACGAGGGCCAGCAGGGGGAAGGCACAGGTGCTCCGGAGAAGAGGATGAATACCAGGGACCCAGGAAAGGACCCTGAAGTCAGAGAGGAGGGCAGCGGGGGGAAAAGGTCCAATAACAGGGTGGGGGGTGGGGGTGGGGAGGGAAAGGGGCAAAGGGAACCTGGTGAGACTGCTGAGTCAGGTGACAGGGGCAGGGGCCATTAAAAAAAGCTTATTGACTTTTAGAGAGGCGGAAACATCTATGTGAGAACGCAACATCTATCGGCTGCCTCCCGCACGCCCCGACTGGGCATCGAGTCCCGACCTGGGCAGTGCCCTTGACTAAGAATCAAACCAGCTGAAACCGGTGTGGCTCAGTGGGTAGAGCGTCGGCCTGTGGACTGAAGGGTCCCGGGTTCGATTCTGGTCAAGGGCATGTACCTTGGTTGTGGGCACATACCCATTGGGGGGTGTGCAAGAGGCAGCTGATCAATGTTTCTCTCTCATCGATGTTTCTAACTCTCTATCCCTCTCCCTTCCTCTCTGTAAAAAATCAATAGAATATATTTTTTAAAAGAAGTATTTTCGAAAAAGAGCATGAACTATGTCACACACTTAAAAAGTCAACAACATACTCTGTACATAATCCATGGTTTAGAGAAGAAGTCTCGAATGAAGAAATATTTAGAATTGAATGAAATGTAATTGAAACGTATTAAAACTTGTGGGAAGAAGCTAAAACAGTGCATTGGGGGGAAATGATAGAACTTAATGCTTACAATAGAAAAATAATCTCAAGTTTATCTAAGCATCCACCTCAAGAAACCAGAGGAAAACACAACAAAAGCAAGTTGAAAAAAGAATATACTGATGGTCAGGAAATCTGGGAAATTAGGGACAGACAGGTAACAAGCAAAAACCGATATAAAGTGCTGGTTCTTTGAAATGATTAAAAAAAATTGATAAATACAAAGAAGATTGACAAAATAAAAGTTGAAACATTTCAATATCAGGAATAAAACAGGGGAATATTCTACCGCCAAAAGAATAATAGAGGAATACTTGAAGCAAATAAGAAGTAGAACTGACATGAAGGAGAATTGTCCCTAGAAAAGGACAATGAAAATTCATCCAATATGAAATATACTCTAAGTAGTTCTAGCCGTATTAAATAAAATAAATACCAAGTTAAAAAGCATCCAGGAAAACCACCCCCAGGGCTACGTGGTTCTCTGGAGAACGCCGCCCAACGTTGGAAGAACAAATAGATCATTCTACACGCTGTCTTCTAAGTAACAGGAGGAGGACCGCTCTCAGCACAGGCTGGGGAGCCAGTGCTGCCTACGCACCAAAACCAGACGCCGACGGTACAAAAAGCCAAATGCGCAAAACCCAGGAATGGAAATAAGAAAAAGGACCTAACTCTTGTTATCCTTTATGAAAATAGAGGAAACCTTCCTCAATTAAAATGCTAGTATACTGAATACTATAATACATAAACATAATTAGACTCCATGACCAAGCGGGGCTTATTCCAAGGTTAGGGAAGTGTTTGATATGTAAAACAGCAGTGAGGGATAGGGGTGGGGAGAGGAAGTGGAAGAGGCTATAGGGTAAATGATGATGGGGAAACAATATAAAATTAAAGATATATACATTTAAAACATCATACCAACAGGCTACAGGTAAAGAAACCAAACAAACATGGTTATACCAACTAAGAGAGAAAAAGCATTGGACAAAATCCAACACCTATTCAAGACACCAAAACACCTCAGCAAATGAGGAACACAGGACAACTGAACTTGGTGAGAAACCTCTAGGAGGAAAACCATAAGACGAGAATCACACTTAGTGATAAGAAACTGAGTGTTTCCCCTCTAATCTGAGGGACCAGGCAAGACTATGTTTCTCACCACCACTATTATTCAGCATTGCATTGGATTACAGCGAGTGCAGTAAGACGGGAAGAAGAGGAGGTAATATAGACGAGAAGATAAAATAAAAACTACCTCTATTTTTCTATGTAGAAAAATCCCAAGCATTCTACCCAATAAATGGTTGCAGTTCAGCAAGTTTGCAGGATGCCAAAATAACACTCAAAAATGATTCTATTTGCATGATACCAAAGGTTTATAAAAACTGTACAGACCTGTCACTGCCCTTTATAAGACAGTACGGAGATAAACAATGCTCCCATATAGAGACACACTATGTTAAGTAACTGGAAGACAACACAGTCCAGATGCCTATTCTCAACAAATGGATCCACATGCCAATTTAACTCAATTTCTATAAAAACTTGGCATTTTGGGGGGTAAAAAAAATCCAGTATATCTAAAACTTTACATAGAAATTGGTGTAGGAGTGACAAATAAGATTCAAATTTAAAAAATGTGGACAAAAGAATCACTTTACCCAATTAAAAAATTTACCACGTAACTATAGCCATCAAATCAACCAGCAGTACAGGACCAAAAAATGTTCAAGGATTGGGTCTTTAAAACCCCGTGAAGATATGCTTTTTAAAAATCAAAGCCTTAACCAGTGTGAACCGGCGCCATCAAATGCAACTGTCTATACTAATATGTGTATACTAATCCCCTCAAAAAAGTATTTATGGTTCAAGCCTTCATATTTCTCTCAAAAATTAAACTCCTTAAGAGTAGAGACAGTGGCCCTAGCAGGTTTGGCCTGCAGACTGAAGGGTCCCAGGTTCGATTCCGGTCAAGGGCATATACCTTGGTTGTGGGCACATCCCCAGTAGGGGGTGTGCACGAGGCAGCTGATCGATGTCTCTCTCTCATCGATGTTTCTCTCTGTCCCTTTCCCTTCCTCTCTGTAAAAAAATCAATAAAATATATATTTTTTAAAAAGAGCAGAGCCCGTGGCCTGCTGGTGTGGCTGTTGACTGAGCACTACTTCATACCCCAAAAGACGGTGGCTCAATTCCCAGTCAGGGCACATAGGTTGCAGGATTGATCCCAGGTTGGGATGTGTCTGGCAGGCAACTGCTTGGTGTTTCCCTGCCCCACCCCTCTCTAACAGTAATGGGAACATATCCTCGGGTGAGGATTTTTTTCTTCTTCTTAAAGAATACAATGTTTTAGAACAAAGATGTTCATTGAAAGCTTCCAGACCTGCCTTCAAGGTCTCCTATCTGGACACCGGACAGCAGTGAATGTATGTACAAGACACACAAAGAGTCCTTTAGTTCTCAAACAAAACTCTCCTCCTGCCAGCCAAACTAAGAAATCCATGGCAGCCCTAACCGGTCTGGCTCAGTGGATGGAGCGTCGGCCTGCAACTGAAAGGTCCCGGGTTCGATTCTGATTAAGGGCATGTACCTTGGTTGCGGGCAATGTTTCTCTCTCATTGATGTTCCTAACTCTCTGTCCCTTTCCCTTCCTCTCTGTAAAAGTCAATAATATATATTAAAAAAAAAAAAAAAAAGAGAGAGAGAGAAATCCATGACAAAGTGCCACAGGCGTGGCCAGGAGTCTGAAAGAAACCTGGAGATAGTTCATTCTCTCTTCCAAGTCTCTCCCTTCTTTTTAAAGAAACGATTCCTGAGATAGCCCTGCAGTGTAAACGAAGGAGAAAGACAGAGCGGAAAGTTCTCTAAGTGCCTGATAACCACTGGGCCTCTCTCCTGGGTGAATTCCCACGTGGAGGGTAAGGATCCAGGCGGGGTCCGTTTCCAATATGACTCAGGAGAAGACCCCTGGCATCTTGCAAGGGGTTTTTCACAGGGAAGACAACTCTGGGGTTTCTCTTTGGTATGAGTGACTCGAGTCCGAGTACGATGATTCTTCTGGCAAAACATTCTCCACAGTGTTTACATTCAGAAAGTCTTCCCCCAGGAGGAGTTCTTGGAGGTGGACGGAGGATTGTCCGCTTGGGAAGGGTCTTCCCACTTGTGTCACACCGATGGGGTTTCTCCCCGTGTGAACCCTCTGATGCTGCGTAAGGGACGAGTTACGACTGAAGGCCTTCCCGCACTCGCTGCACTCGTAGGGCTTCTCCCCGGTGTGGATGACGGCGTGTCGGATGAGGTTGGTGCTCCAGCAGAAGGTTTTCCCACACTCGCTGCACACGTAGGGCTTCTCCCCGCTGTGGATCCGCTGGTGCCTCGTGAGGCCCGACCTGCGGTTGAAGGCCTTCCCGCACTCACCGCACTCGTAGGGCTTCTCTCCGGTGTGGATGCTGAAGTGCCGGATGAGGTCGGCCCGATTGCTGAAGGCTTTACCGCATTCCTTGCACTCAAAAGGCTTTTCCCCGGTGTGGGCCCGCTTGTGCAGGATGAACGTGGAGCAGTGGGTGAAGGCCTTGCCGCACTCCGCGCACACGTACGGCTTCTCCCCGGTGTGGATGCGCTGGTGCCTCTTGAGGTACGACCGGTGGTTGAAGGCCTTCCCGCACTCTGTGCACTCGAAGGGCTTCTCCCCCGTGTGGATGACGTAGTGGTGGATGAGGGCCGCGCTCTCACAGAAGGTTTTCCCGCACTCGCTGCACTCGTAGGGCTTCTCCCCCGTGTGGGTCTGCTGGTGCCACATGAGGTAGGACCTGTGTTTGAAGACCTTCCCGCACTCGAAGCACTCGTAGGGGTTCTCGCCGCTGTGGATGATGTAGTGCCGGATGAAGCCCGGCCGGTCCCGGAAGGCCTTGCCGCACTCCTTGCACACGAAGGGCTTCTCCCCCGTGTGGCTCCTGGTATGGAGGACGAACGTCGAGCGGTGGGTGAAGGCCTTCCCGCATTCGTCGCACTTGTAGGGCTTCTCTCCGCTGTGGATCCGCTGGTGCTGCGTCAGGTGTGACTTGCGGCTGAAGGCCTTCCCGCACTCCGCGCACTTGTAGGGCTTCTCCCCCGTGTGGACCATGTGGTGCTGGAGGAGGTACGTGCTCTTACTGAAGGTTTTCCCACACTCTGTGCACTCGTAGGGCTTCACTCCCGAGTGAATCCACATGTGTCGGGCCAGGAGGCGCTTCTTGTTGAACACTTTCCCGCATTCGCTGCAGGTGAAGAGGCCCTCCCCGCCCGGAGCCATGCGGTCTGCGCCCAGCCTGCACAAGTCGTGCTCCAGGAGGGCTCGCACGGTGGGGGCCGGCTCCCGCACGGCCCTCACGCACACACCCTCCGCCGTCCCAAAGCCGCCGTGCTCCGAGCGGGGTCTCCTAGGAAGCTTCTCCTCCTGCAGGTCTATCCCCGACGCCGACTGTCCGCCGGGCACTTCCCACGGCCCGTTCCAGCCCGCGGTCCGGCCCGCCTGGAAGCCTGCGGGGGGCTCGGCTCCTTGTATTAGCAGTTTTAGAAGTGAGGGTCGCTCAGGCAGGGCGAGCTCACAAGCAGCGGGTTCTGTGGTCTCAGCTCTTTCTTTCTCACCTGAAAGAAATCCAGCACACAACAGGACCTGTTAGTAATGCCAACACACACACACACACACACACACACACACAATCCCCACCACTTCCGTGATTTAAAAAAAGGTGAAAATAGTGCTTCTGTGTCTGCTATGTTTTACCTCTGAATACAAGGACTGCAATTTTTTCCTTTCCTAGTCCTTGGACTATGGACACCTTGAAAGGGAGACAAAGGGAAGTAGCTGGGTTACAGGGCAGAGTGATGAGAAGAAACAGTCGATTCCAGAGAGAATATTTATATGCAAACAGGTAACTCACTTGGGCCCCTATATCTGAAGAGATGACTCAGGGCAAGGCCTAGTCATGCTAGAAAAGCTATCCACAGAGGGTTGGGACCCTGAGTTATATGATAACAACTGGGCTTCTGGAAAAAGGGGGGGGGCAGGAGACTGTCATATAGGTCATTGGTCAATCAACTGTGCTTATGAAATAAGTCTGTAAAACTCTGAACCCTGAAAACAGGTGGAATCCCTAGGTTGGAAGTACTTCACGCATGTTATCATCAACATCAGCACTAGGAGTTTAATGGGTCCCTGAGGACATGGAGACGCATGTTAGAATCCCTCCAAAAACTCTGAAAAACACTTTGATGTAGATCTACTACTAGACAAAGACTTAAAAAATCATCTCGCCTGAACGTACCCAATCTTGTCTGATCTCAAGCTAAGCAAGGTCAGGCCTGGTTAGTACTTGGATGGGAAATCACCTGGGAATACCAGGAACTTTAGGATTAAAATAATAATAATAAATTAAATAAATATTTAAGAAACCATCTTAAAGAAGATCAAAGAACTAAAGGAAGATATGGAGAAAATGAAAAAAAAATTATGTCTAAACAAAATGGAAATATCAACAAAGAGCTAGAAAACCTAAAATAAACAAGAAAAGAATTTCTGAAATACAATGCTACCAACAACTGCACATGAACCAAATGGATAACCTATGTGACACGGGCAAATTCCGAAAAACAAAAACCTACTAAGACCTATTCATGGAGAAATAGAAAATCTGAATAAACGTAGAATAATTAAGGAGATTGGATTACTAACCAAAAATCTCCCAACGAAGTGAAACACCGGACCTGGGAACTTCACTGGCAAATTCTATCAAACATTTCTAAAGAACTAATGCCAATCCTGCTCAAACTCGTCTAAGCTCGTTCTCACACTGGCAATATCATGATAATAAAGCTAAAGCACTAACAGAAAACAAAACTGCAGACCAACATCTTCTCATGAAAACTGATGCAAAAGTCCTCAACTCGAGAGTGGCCGGCTAAAATCCAGTGGCACATGTAATGGACCATACACCATGACCAAGCGGGGTTTATTCCTATAATGCAAGGATGGTTTGACACACACAAAGTGATCAGTGTAATTAATACATATTAACAAAATTAAGAAGAAGCCGAAACCGGTGTGGCTCAGTGGATAGAGCGTCGGCTTGGGGACTGAAGGGTCCCGAGTTCGATCCCGGTCAAGGGCATGTACCTTGGTTGCAGGCACATCCCTAGTAGGGGGTATGCAAGAGGCAGCTGATCTATGATTCTCTCATCGATGTTTCTTACTCTCTATCCCTCTCTCTTCCTCTCTGAAAAAATCAATAATATATATATATATTTTTTTAAATGAAGATAAAAAAAAAGGCAACATGACGATCTCAATTGATGCAATAAGTACTACCAATAGCTTGCTTTTCATGAGCCCCTTGCTATGGCTCAAGACGCTTTGCTGAGCAGTTTTACGCGTAATGCCTTACGTGATCACACCCCCAAACAACGCAATGAATGACCAAAACACCACTTTTACCAGCATCGTCCTGGGATGGACCGAGTGTGGCAGACTACACTCACCACATGCTCTGCACCTGAGGCCGGACATGCAGCCTCACCACAGTAACGGCCCCTCCCCCAGGTGCCCCAACGCCCAGTTTTCCTTGGTGGGGTGTGAGTGGAACTGGTGTTTGCGGGAGGGGTGACATCCTCCCTCCTCTCTCGTCTCCTCTGCCAGCTGGAGGCCGTCAGCACAACCTGACAGCCGCATCCTGACGACAGGACCGACACGGGTCCCTGAAAACCAGGTGGTACAGGGCTCCCCCCTGACCCCGAGTGAGAAAAAGAGCTGCCGTATGCTGAGCAATGAGATTCTGGAGTTTGACTCAGAAGCCACCTTTACCTTAAATATAAGGACATAAGAATATGGTGCAACTCACTACAGCCACAGAGCTGGCAACCAGCAAGCCAGACTGTGAGCCCCAGACAGATTGGAGCTCACACACCTCTGCCTCCAGGAGGTCAGAGGGCTCCATGGCTTGCCTGGCTAGTGCGGCTCAGTGGGCTGGGCGCCATGCCATGCACCGAAAGGTTTCTGGTTTGATTCCCGGTCGGAGCACATGCCTGGGTTGCAGGCTTGATCCCCGGAGGGAGCATGCAGTTATTCTGCTCTCGCATCTCACATGGATGTTTCCCCCTCTCTCTCCATCTCTAAAAAAATCAATAAAAAAATCTCTGGGGGAAAGGGCTCCCAGGCTTCCAAACCAGCAGACAGGCCCCAACACGAAGCTCCCCAGGGGCCATGGCCATGGTCTCTGGAGGCCTCCCGGCGCAGGGTCTGCCATTGGCTGGGCCAGCTCCTACCTGGACGGGCGCCTCGGGAGAGATCGGTCCTCACTGTCCACAGCTCCTGCTCCTGCTCCTGCTCCAGCTCCAGCTCCTGCTCCTGCTCCTGCTCCAGCTCCAGCTCCTGCTCCCGCTCCCGCTCCCGCTGCCGCTTCAGCTCCTGCTCCCGCTCCAGCTCCCATTCCTGCTCCTGCTCCCGCGGGCAGGTCAGCGCGGGTCTGGGCACGGGGCACCCTGTCACGGAGGAGAAAGAGGACGGGAGGATCTGTGAGAGGAAAGAGGCCTCTCCATCTGGTCTGGGACTGCAGGACGGGGACATCCAGGCAGGAAGCTGCCTCCATCCACACCAAATGCTGACGTCTGCCCCGAAGCCACGGACAGGCCGTGCGGATGGGGAGTGTTTGTTCCCAACACGAAGTCAAATGCGGAGCGTGATCGTCCTCAACGGACGGTGACAGCAGCTTAAAAGCATTGTTTTGTTTCAAAATCAAAACGGTTTTTGGAGTAAACAACTGACACACCTAAAATATTTAGGTCCAAACAAGGTATGTGTCCTCATTGATCTGTCTCTCTCCCCCCGCCCCCATTTTTAAACATGTATTGATTTTAGAGAGAAAGGGGGCGGGAGAGGGGGAGACAGAGACAGAGAGAGAGAGAGAGAGAGAGAGAGAGAACACTGATTTTCTGTTCCACTTATGTATGCATTCACTGACTGAGTCTCCTATGTGCCTTATCAGACCACACTTGAACACAGTGGTCGGCAAACTACAGCTATCGAGCCACATGGGGCTCTTGAGCCGCGGTTTGCCACTTTGTTGACTAATGAGTTTGCCAACCACTGGCCTAGACTCTCGATTCCGATAATGACAGGCTGTTATTGTTCCTTGTGATAAAGCACCTATCAAAGTGGTCGGCAAACTCATTAGTCAGCAGAGGGGAAAACCTCGGCTCTTGAGCTGCATGTGGCTCTCGAGCCGCAGTTTGCTGACCACGGCTCTAACCAAAGAGCCACCTGGCCAGGATGTAGGTCTTAGTTTTAGATCCACAGACAGAATGAAGATTCTGCCTCAGGACTTCCTCAAAGCTCACCAGCAAGTACACGCTGCGATCAGCCCATGTTACAGACGAGGAGACCGAGGCTCCAGCAGAGGGCGTGACGTGCCCACGGGGACAGCGTGGGAAGCTGGTCAGCCTGTCTGCTGTCTAGGCTGTTCACCACCCGATCCGGAGGCCGAGTCCAGGCCCGAGGGTGACGAGGTCTGAGAGTCACAGCAGCGGGGGAGCGGCAGGGGGTCCCCAATACCAGCCCGGCCACAGCAGGCCCTGTCCCGAGCCTTGTCCCTGAGTCGCCCATCACCCTGCCGCACCCAAGAGGCAGGTACCACACTAACCACAGCACAGAGAGGCTCAGTGACCGGCCCACGGCCACAGCTTTTCGGGAGCAGAGTTGGATTAAACAAGATCCTGGCACTGGACACCTGTCCCCCAAACACCCGACTGAGAGAGAAACAGCAAACACCCGGTGTGGGGCCCGCAGCCTGAGGCCGGTCTGTCCACTGCGATGTCAGCACCCCGGGCTCTGTCCCCCAGATGCCACTGCCACCCACACCCCCGCTGTGACGTCACAGAGTCACCGATGCTGGGGAGCTGGTGAACGAGGGTGACGGGATAAGCTAGAACCATATGTGTAGCACACAGACACAGTGCGACGGGCGGACAACAGTGGGGACAGCCAGAGGGACAGTGGGTGGGAGTAGATGGAGGTGGGTAAGAAAGGACAGTTTATTGGTTTTTAGAGAGAGAGGAAGGGAGAGGGGGAACATAACATTTGACTGGCGGCCTCCTGCAGGCCCCCCATGGGGGATGGAGTCCACAACCCGGGCCTGTGCCCTGACTGGGAATCGAACCAGCAACCTTCCGGTGCACGGGGTAACACCCGACCAAACACCAGCCAGGGCTCCCGAGGCCTTCGTGACCAGCAGGCCCGGAGCCAGAGGGCAGAGTGGAGGAGGGGACCGGGGTCCCCCACACGGCAGAGTCGGGGGGCACTCACCCAGAGACGCCAGGAGCGTGCACGTCTCCAGCATCACCTCCTGGTACAGGGTCCTCTGGGCCACGTCCAGCTGCCCCCACTCCTCCTGGGAGAAGGTCACGGCCACGTCCTCGAAGGTCACAGACGCCTGGAAAGGAAGACAGAGGTCAGTCACAGTGACGGCCTTGGGGCTGCTGATGGGATCAGCGACCGTCTCCGTGTCGTGGTCAAGGACAGACGTCCAGGCCCAGAGCACCAGGCGCCTGCTGGGCCGAGCTCTGTGCTCGCTCACGGGGGACGGGACGGCAATGCTGTGGGTGCAACACGGTGGCCGAGGAGAACCCGCCTCTGGGAGGAGCCGACGTAAACCGACACGGACAACGGAGCGTCTTGTAGGTGGTGAGGGCTCCAGGCAGTCAGAAAGAGGAGGAAATGGGATTAAAGCATCCGGCTTCTATACAAACTGCTGTTTGAAATTCTAACCCTGTTATTCTGGCTTCTGTAAACGCTTGCTTGCTTAAACAATAAGGACAATAAGGCTATGTATTCCCACCCCAGAGAGGCCGTGGACTGTGCCCCAGACGGAGCTGTCAGGGCTGACACCAGGCTGGGCCTGGAGATGCGGTCTCATGGCCCCTTCCCAGCACACAGGCCTTCTTTCCCGTAGGTCTCATGCCAAATCTGGGAGACAAAGGAGCAAGGAAACGTAGGAACAGAAAAGGTTTCCTCCGTGTGTGTGTGTGTGTGTGTGTGTGTGTGTGTGTGGAGGGCAGAATTGGAAAGGCACATTTTTCTCAGCCCTGTCCTTAATACAGTGTAACTCCCTTTCTCTAAGCACGGCTTGCTTTCTTCCCGGTCTTCTGTAACATGATAATAAAAACCATCAGGAATGGTAGTAACAGATGTACCTGAGCCTCAGTGGTCCGGCCAGTGCCTGCCCCTGCTGGGGCTCCACGTCACGCCTCCCCCAGCCCCTCGTTATACCATTACCGGTGACATTCAGTCCCCTTGGACATTAGTCACATCGTGTCTTACGGTGACTGAGAGTCCCAGCTCCTCTCTATCTACGGTGAGTGCATACACTGGCCCATAAAAACCGTTGTCCAGAAACACGGAATTCAAGGACCAACACAACAGCCGGGACAATTCACAAAGGGGTAAAATGAAAGATCCCAGAGACACGTGATTAAGCCCCCTGCTCTCCAGCCATCCTTTCACCAGTGGCTCCTGACAGCCCTGTGGTGATCAGGCCCACTCATTATACACGAACAACCCAGACACTCCACTCTCAGACGCACAGCCTCGCCACTGCACATCTGCCATTTCAATGCTCCCAGACCTTCAGACTTTCCTAAAATCTCTCACACAAGCAGCAGCTGGCGTTCGGTGTGCCCCAAACCTATCAATTAGAGGCCCAAGACACGGCACTAGCACCACCTGCCTTGCTTCACAGCTGGGCCTCACCTGGGCACTTCCTTTTTCCCCTGGCTGGCCCAGCTGGAGGGACAGACCCCCACCAGTGCGCGAATTTGTGTACCGGGCCTCTAATATATACATATATATCTATATCTATATCTATATCTAGATATATTTACTCTCTGACATGCAACTACGGTACACAGCCTTCTGTATTAACTGCTTAGGGTGCAACAACGTATATGGCTTTCTCTAGTTCAGTGGTCGGCAAACTCATTAGCCAACAGAGCCAAATATCAACAGTACATCGAATGAAATTCCTTTGGAGAGTCAAATTTTTAAAACTTAAAACTCTATAGGTAGGTACACTGTTATTAATTTAATCAGGGTACTCCTAAGCTGGCCTTTGCTAAAACCTCAAGGGGCCAGAGAGCCACATGTGGCTCCTGAGCTGCAGTTTGCCAACCACTGCTCTAGTTGGTTAAATTGGAAGTGAGTGAAAATTTGAAAAAAGGTTCTCCTGGGCCTGGCTCAGAGGCTGACCATCCACCTATGAACCCGGAGGGCAAAGTCCGATTCCCCATCAGGACACAAGCACAGACTATAGGCTCGTCACAGCTGATCAATGATTCTCTCTCATCATTGATGTTTCTATCTCACTATCTCCTTTCCTTTCCGAAATCAATGGAAAAAAAAATATATTTTTTAAAAAAACAACAATATATTTAAAAATATATTTTATTGATTTTTTACAGAGAGGAAGGGAGAGGGAGAGTTAGAAACATCGGTGAGAATCATCGATCAGCTGCCTCCTGTACACCCCCCACTGGGGATGTGCCTGCAACCAAGTTACATGCCCTTGACCGGAATCGAACCCAGGATCTTTCAGTCTGTAGGAAAGGCTCTACCCAGTGAGCCATACTGGTTAGGGGTTTTTTATTTTTTATTGCTATTTTAAAAAATATATATTTTATTGATTTTTTTTACAGAGAGGAAGAGAGAGGGATAGAGAGTTAAAAACATCGATGGGAATCATCGATCAGCTGCCTCTTGCAACCCCCCCCCCCCACTAGGGCTGTGCCCGCAACCAATGTACATGCCCGGAATCGAACCCAGGACCCTTTAGTCCACAGGCAGACGCTCTATCCAATGAGCCAAACGGTTTTGGCTTATTGCTATTTTTTTTTTAATTTTTCATTTTTTCCATTGCTTTTTATTTTATTTAATTTTTTTAACAAAATGTTTTCATAAAATCTTTATTTTTATTTTTTTGTTAAATCATTATCTGTGTACATATTCTTATTGCTATTTAAAAAAAATACATTTTATTGACGTTTTACAGAGAGGAAGGCAGAGGGATAACAGTTAGAAACATTGATGAGAGGGACATTGATCAGCCACCTCCTGCACAACCTCCACGGGGTAGGACTTTTTTTTTTTTTTTTTATTGATCATCTCGTTTTTCTGCATGCCAATTTAAAAACATATATATTTTATTGATTTTAAAAATATATATTTTATTGATTTTTTTACAGAGAGGAAGGGAGAGAGAACTAGAAACGTCGATGAGAGAGAAACATCGACCAGCTGCCTCTTGCACACCCCCTACCGGGGATGTGCCCGCAACCCAGTACA